GACAGTCTGAATAGTCTAGCAAATGTTTTCTTTAAAAAGGCCACATAGGAGGGCACTAGAGTCCTACTACCAATTCTGTATATCACAACAGAATATAAACCTTATTCTTCGGTTAAAGTGAGCATATACCTCATCGTGGTGAAATGAAAACAGACAATACAGCAGCTCTACACATAGCCTCAACTACCAACAAGACTATAGGAATCACTCAGCCTTTCCCACCACTTCTCTCCCTCACTCTGCTCTACATCTGCTCCTCCAGCCTAAGGCAAAACTGAAGGCAGTTGCTAGGCTTTTCCACTTCTGCCTGTCCACGCATTCAATTTTTATTCTCCGTTATTTTCCCTTGCCCTCTTCTGAGGAATGAACTGGTCTTTACACTGCTACAGAAAAGCTGTATTTTTTTTTTTTAAACTTGTAAACATTTACCCATCCAAAAAATATTTGCATGTTTTAGACCAGCCTTATGGTAAACAGTAGTGGTGATGGAAACAGATCAGTAAGACATACTAACAACATAATTTTAAAGTGTGAGGTCCTTGAGTACACCAACTGACCTTACTGGCCCTGACCAACCTCATCTGAGCCCTCCACCTATGCTCTCCCTTGCCCATGGGCCTAGGCCCCCCATTTCAGCCCAGTTCAGGGCTGTCAGTCCATGCCCCTGCAGTGCCACAGGGATGCCAGGCTCCAGCTCACCAGAGCCCTGTCCCTGCTCAGCCACGGGCCCCACCAACCCTGACCCAACTGCCCAGCCTCAGCCGATCCCCACAGACACGCTTGATGCCCTGGGCTAGGGCTGCCCCTGCCTGTCCTGCTCCCTCACTGGGGGCAGTGGGACAGGCCCTGGCTGGCGAGGCTCAGCTCTGCCCTGCCAGCCTATGGACCCTTGATATGCCTGGCTTCCCATCCTTAGGGAGCTATAGGCCCATGCAGTGCACTGACAAAAATGTTATCGGCATTGCAACTTAAGCAGTCAAACATAATAATAAGGTACATATGAGCTGAGCTGCCATTTAGGATTCTCAAAGATTTCAAGTAAGAATGGACTACTACTGACCTGACAAGAAAGTCCACTTCAGATCAAGTGTCAGAATAATCCCTCTTTTGCTTTTCATCACTGATACTATTGATCCAGCTCACTGCACACTGAATCAGTAATAACACACCTATGTGTAAACACATCGCCTTAGTTTCCAACAAACAGAGTAATATTAAAGGTATACAAGAATAAGTTCTTAGCATCTGAAAGCAATAAAAACACTGAGGAAAATAAAGATTATTTGATTTTAGCTCTTTTGATATTTAATCTAACTAGCTACTTGCAAAAAACATCACAAAACTTTACTAAAAACCTAGTAATGCATAGAATATTAGAAAAAGTTAAGGGATGTTTTTAGTACCACCCATCTAGAATACTGACTCTGGTAGTATATAAAATTAAAATTTACCTCTACGTATTTTACCCTTATTTGTAAAGAAAAAAATCCAAAACAGTACCTTATTACATTTATTCTTTTAGATCAGCACGATAATTGAAATGAGCAGCTAAGTAGCACTACAGTACAGGTTAGCACGCATTACAATGCGAAAGATATCTATCGCTTTTAGTGGTTTAAAACAGGAGACAGAATCTGGGTTCTGTTTCCATCCTCTTCTGTAGCTCATCAAGTAACTTAAACCCAAGGTTTTCAAAGTGACCACTCATTCTGAAAGGCCAAAGCTTTCAAGTTAAGAGTAAATAAAGCTGGCAGCAGATGAACATTTTTACACCACAGATAAAACCACCTTTCTTGTACCAAGTACACAAACAGGTTTTTCCATGTGTCACCCTGAAAACAGGGAGTACAATCAATTTTTCCACAAAATATTACCCACTCCTAAACAACGTAAATCTTGCCCAATTTACCTTCAGATCAGCTAACGGCTGTTCTTACCTGCTGTAGTTATTGCACTATTTTTAGGTTAGCACTAATTATGTTTCTTGAAAAGCAATCTATGTACCCGGGTGTCTTCAGTGAACAGCATTTATCAGCCAGATAATTCTAGCGTAAAGCATCTCCTCCTCCTCCTAAACAATTTCATGATCATATATAGCAGAATATATTTTTCCGAGTAACAGTAATGCAGGCAGATTTTTGTTGCCACTTGAAGAAAAACAGTTTTATTCATTACTATTGTTTCAATATGATTAGAACATGAGATCACTACCTAAACAGACAACAGAAAATTCTTTTTAAAGTACTGTTCTAGTTTAGCCCTATACAGTCCTAGTTGGTAACTGCTGAGCTGAGAAAAAATGAGGTACTGGAATGTTCAGAGCACCTGGGAAAGAGGAAGAAAACAAGGCCAAATTTTCACTATTTCTGCTCTTTTAGTGTATTTTGATTACCATCGCCTAAAGCACATGAGGAAAAACAAAAAACCCACAATACGGATCCTTTCATTTATTAACTAATTATGCCTAGTTACGAGTAATTAAATTAAAACAGTGATCATTGACAAAGTCTTCTAAAACACTTTAGATTCCAATAAAGCTTGTCACAAAGGAATTCCATTTGGATAAGCAAAAACTTCCTACATGTAAATACTAAATAACGTAATACCACAGTTTTCAACTTAGATGAATTCAAATCTGAACTCTACGTAAGGAGTACTATAGTTTTCAATAATTAATATCCTCCTCCTCCTAAAAGCTTAAGTGGAGTCATCTAATTAAAAAATGCTAATGTGGAAGTATAGACTTTCCCTGTCCAAGTGACATATCTTATTCCTTCTTCTGCACCTTTTTTTTTGACAGACAACGCCTTATCAGAATAAGCTTGACTGCTATGAATAAAATACTTCAAATACCACAATGCGTACAAGAATATAAATATAACAGTTAGTAAGCGTCTATTAGAAGTATTTCAACAGAGAACTGAAATAAGCATTTTGCTGCACACAACCAGTTTTAAGGTAATAGCTTACTCTTCACCCATCACAAAACAAACAATTAGTTTGCCTTAATAATGAATTTTGCCCTTTAATATTTCTAAAAGTCATCTACTCTTCAAACATGAAAATTAGCTTAGACAACATTATACTCTGCTCTACTTTTAGTACTGAAAAGGCAGGTATTATACAAGACAATCGTAGCTTCTCAACTCTATCAATGCACCTCAATCTAGATTAATCTTACTATTCCAGGAAGGCTACTGTTCTTTATAAACGCAGACTGAGTCTCAAACTGAAAGAGTTCTCAATTTATTATGAAAAAAACCAATGGGGCCAGACAGGGAGGGAAAAGATAGAAGTAAAGAAGGGAGGGTTTGTGTTCCTACGTGTGTTATTTTCAGTGTTACATAGTTTGATTATCTGACAGAAAATTTCAATTCATTTATTGTTACAATACATTTAAAAGCGTCTAGATAAAAATTTTGGAGAGAAGGCTAAGAACATGATTAACACTTAGAGTCACAGAAAAGGTAGATAATTTGGAAAATAAACTGATGATTACTATCCCTTGTAACACTAGAACTAGAGTCTACCATTGGATCCAATAGCAGATGACTTTAAACAATCAACTTCCCCCCTGCCCCAGCCCAAACAGCAGGCAGTGACCTTCAATAATTTGGTGCCACTAAAGCTTACAGAGGCAAACAGTATCGCAGTAGGTTCAAAAGGTGATTAGATGCATTCACAGGCACCAGGCCCCTGAATCAGTTCCAAAAGGACCAGGCAGGTGCATACTTTCTAACTTACCTAATCCAATGATCATGGATGATGAAAAATAGGAGGGAGAGAGCCCATCTTATCTGCCAGAGACTAGAGACTGATTCATAAAGCCAGTGGACTGCTGCTTAAATAGACTACTTCACAGAAACTAAAAAAAAAAAAAAACTCTCCACAAAAAAAAAAGGCTCCACAAGCCATCTTCATATTTAAATATAACAGAGTACTAAAGAGATTTTAGTCCTAAAGAGTTAAAATTTAACGTCACAAATTAAAAAAATCTTCTAGTGACACGCAAAATGTTTATGTTTTCTGATTACTGGTAATGGCAAAGGTTAGCACAGTTTAGTACTAAACAGGCAATAATTATATAGATTCATGTAATATGTACAGCCTTGTATCTAAAACATTTTCAAGGCTGAGCATAGGCTTTTAAGGTTAAACCCAGAAGCATATAAAGTTTTATGTCCCTTATTGCCATTTTAGATTTTTACAAGAGTTCGACACACAGCTGCAACTTTGACTTTTATACTGCATGCAGGTATATGATTCATATCTTTACAGTCAAGCTCCCCTACTCAAACCCAGCAGCCCTTGCATTCCCTCCAGGCTTCGGCTCAGTCTCTTCTATAAGCCTGAGGCATCTTCCCCAGGGGAGAGGCTGGTTTCCCCCACCCCTGCTGGCATAGGCTAGCTCTGCTCCCCCATTCCCCCAGCACACAGCCTCTTACAAGCCTAACCTCAAGCACAGTCCAGCTCTTTGCTTCTTAGGGGTACACACCAGCTTTGCTCTTGAAGATGCTTCTTCCTACCCGCCACCGAGGTGCACCTGGGGAAGGAAACTCCAGCCTGAGAGATTTTCAGTAGACCCCAGGACAGACACGCATAGGCAGAAAAGGTAGAGAGAGCACTAACATCCCACAGGAGGGAGAAAGGAAGGCAAATCCCTCCCGCTTCCCACACCACACACCCACTCACACAGGGTGCAGCAAGCTGCAGGCTGCCTCCTCAGCATCACTCTCCACTGCCGCCTCTTCCCCAATGTCGGGCAGGCAGAGGAGCAGGGCCTTGGCAGTCACCCTGCCCGGGGCCGGGCAGGGGCTGGGGGGTGCAGGCCGGTGCTGCTTGGCAAGGATGGGCCGGCAGCCCTGCCGGTGTCCCCCGGCCTCTGGAGCAAGAAGCCACTGGGCTGCACAGCCCAGCGTTGCTAGGCTAAACAAACACAGCAGCAGCAGGGCCGACAGCCGAGACAGGGGCACGCACCGTGCAAGCGAACAGCCCTCACACCACCACAAGCCTGCACAGCTCACAGCAATACAGCAGCCTGCGTCAGTAACAAGTAGAGCCCATACATGAAGGGAAAAAAACCCCAATGTTTTCTCTTTAATTAAATTGCTATCTAATATCAATGGGCAGAAACCAGTGCCATCTGCCAGGATTGCAGGCCCCCTCCTTTACCACCCTTTCTGCAGCGCGCCCATGTGTGCTGCATGGAAAGAGGTCAACAGAAACACACACTGGTAGACAGCAGCTACCTGCTGCTTTTCACATCCTGTCACACAACCAATGACAGAGGAAAGTGTGGTTGGAAGTAGGGTATCAGCCCATATGCAAAGACACTACCAACTCCACCAGGGGCAGTTTGGGGAGCAACACAGAGCTGGTCCTGGTTAAAGGCCTTCCTCCGCTTTGCTATAAACACCAGCAGCAGAGCCACAAGTCAGGAAGCACCCCTACACCTAGGCCTATGGAGTTGGGGCAAACACTAAAATAGTCTTGCTGGGGACTTGCAAGCTGTCCCCATACAGCTGCCCATCCAGGTGGAGAGAAGCATAGACACCACCAGCAGCAGCATGGGGACACTAACAGCGAGTGTCATGGCAAGCAATGTGCCAGCTTACAATTAAGCCATTAGTTCACTATCAACTCATACCACCAAAGCAGCTGCTGGTAGATGGCAACTGAGGGTAAAGCAGGTAATTTTCTCTCTGCCTCTTCCTAGTACTTCAAGGAATGCAACTGAGCCCTATAATGGGGCCCTCACTATACCCAAGCACAGGATCGAGATGTGAAAAATAGAATCTTCTTGGTCTTTCTTCCTCACAAACTGAAATATTTTGCTCACATTAAACCTTATGGGAAAGGTCCACATAAACCTACTGGCAACACAATCCGAATTTATTCCTCATCCTTCCATTTTTGGCCTAGCCTAGCATTAACATATTTCTATTAAAGCCTTGACTAAGCCACAGTGAAATTAACAATACAATTAAGCACTTCAGTATGCAGTATATTTCAGCTGCATGCCCCTGATTTGGGAGCTTGCAGCCCCCAAAGATTAGCAAACCTGCTTGAAGATCTGAAATATAAACAATTATGAATGTCACTAATTCATCCCATCACCCAGCTACCACAGAAACAGTCAGATTCTACCTTCAATCTACAGATTCAAGCATTTTACCTCGCTTAAGTCCTTTTAAATATTCTGCTTTCAATATGGAAGATTCTTCTTAGTCTTAGATATCTTTGATATCAAGTCTGGTATTATTTTTGATTTGGTATCCAGTTCCTTAGCAAGTTATCATCACTGTCTGACGGCCCCCTGCTGTAAAGAAACTAGCCAGCTTAGGTACTGTTAACCCTGAAAGCACTTTCAACTCTTCACTAGCATAAGTAGTCCTATTTATTTCCTCAATAATAAAAGGTCAGACATGTACAGCAGGACAAAGTAAATAACTTACAGATAAAAGGGGAAAATCTATGAAAATTGTCAAGTATATTGATTGTTTTAATATTGTCGCTGTGCTTAATTGCTTCTGTTTTCATTTTTAACATTAATCTAATTTTCTCATTGCAACTCTTCAGAACATCCTGTGTTATAACTGATTTTAAACTGAACATAAGTCTTGAAATAACTGTTTAAAATACAAGCTTTTATCATTCAAAATGATTGTTACTCAAGTACTTCTGGTTTATATTCTTAGTTATATTACAAAACTAAGTACCCACATTTACTCAGTGCTCTGAGACCTATTTTGAGGCTTTTTTGTGTCCAAATTCTTCAAAGACCTTGTTACTACAGTCATTTGTCAGAGTTTAAGGACAGAACAGACCATGAGATCATTTAAGTCTAACCTCTTGCATCCCATTACATTTCACACTGGCATTTCTCCATGCATTCTCTACTTGTATTGAACAAGACAAAAACATATGTGAATTGCCAACATTTTCTAGATAATTTGAGATGGAATGAAAAATTTTGCTATTCGTCATTATAGTTCAGATTCAGAAATATTGAGAACCCCTTTCATGTTAGTCATTAAAAGAAAGAAAAGAACAAGTAATTGACATGGTGCATACCTGGCACCCCACCCTTACAGTCATGCATCCTCAACTTTCATGGCCTAAGCATGAAGAGAGAATTTGTCACTTAGCCTGGAAAGGTCAGAAAGACAAGATGAAAGCATCATAATGGGGATAATCCTATTACTGTAACTAAGAAATCATCATCTACCACTTCATCTGTAAACAAAGATTTTGTTCTCACTTCAGGATTTCCTGAGCACCTGAATGCAGCATATGCCTCCTGTCATTTGTTCTTAATCATACAACAAAAAACCTATTAAAATTCAGTGTTTTTCACCTATACATATTTATAATCAACTTTTTAATGATTTATTTGTTAAGTATTGATCTGAAATCTATTTTCTAAATCAGAATTCTTAGAGTAATAGTGGTATTGAAATGGATGAGGGAAATGCTAGCAAAAAAGAAAAACAGGAATATCTATGCCTTTACTCAGTTTATAGAGGCATACCAGCTAGGCCTTCGCCATGTTTGGTGTTGATTTCAAGTTCCACTTAAAGGCCTGCATGTAAGTTCTATGCACATATAATTAAGACATCTCTCAGTATAAACAGCCTTCTACTAGATTTCTGAATTTCAGTAGGAAAGAGGAAAATTTTTCTTTAAATCAAAGATGACTTAATCAGTTGACTAGTCTGAAAACCTGTTTTTCAAGGTGACAAGTCCTAACCTCATTGAGAAGGCTTAAATAATCTTCCACTGCATGTTCTGAACAGTCTGCTCACAAGGCCAAGTTTCTTTGTTACTTCATTTCCTTAAAAGTAAGGTTTTTAAAAAATCACTGTGAAACTCAGCTACATTCTTGGCTTCACCTATAGAAGTAATGTTATTTACTGTTTCACATGGAAAGTTTTCCAATCTGTTTCACTGAATCTCCCCTTATCTTGTGAAAGTGAATAGGATCCATTCTACCTTCTCCACAGCATTTAGTATTTTATTATTGCATTCTTTTACGTGTTTCTTTAGAGTAGAAAGTCCATATCTTCTGTGTATTACTTCAGATGAACACTTTTCCTAAGACTTCATTCTCACTGCTTCTCAGAATTAATTCTGCTCTCACATTTTTAATACAGACTAAGATGACTATCAATCATGGTGCATTTTAATATGTCACTTGAGTGCAGTGAATCAAAATATCAGCAAGAACATGAATCTGGACAGGTAAAAATCAAGCTAGTGATTACATATTTCTCTAGTACAAGAAATTGTCTTCCTTTTTTCCTCTGAAGGCTTGTTTCCTAATTATGGAAAATATGCAACAAAATGTCTTTGTAATTCAAATGCACATTTTCAAAATTCAGTGCACTTTACTATTAGATTTAAGTGCCATCATTAATTGCTGATGAAACGCATTGACTCTTTCTTTCTGAGCTGGCCAATTCAAGATGCAGCGAGATCTGAACATTCCTCTTCTCAAGCAAAGTGCATGATTCAACTTGTAGTCTGGGATATCATGAAGAAAGATCAATACAATGGAGTCCCGACTTTGTTCAATAGCTTGCTGAACAGCATGATACACCTTAAACCTGAAGTAAAAATAGGACAAAACGCATGTTTTATTTCATGGGAAAAAGTGGCAAATAGTTTTTTCAACAGTCACACAGCTCATACAACACATTGCAAAAAATCAGGCCCTAGATTCAAATACAGGTTTTAATGACTGTTGTGTGATATAAAAATTGTTCCCATTTAACAAATTACCTTTTAACTAAAGAAAAAAAAAACATCCTCTAAAAATAGCCAGTCTACTGTCTCAATATAGGCTTGTTTAACATAGTTCTTTTCCAGCTTGCTAAATAAAGGAGCAATGAAAAGACTTGAAGACAAGAAAATCAGATGCTCATGACCTCATCAACCATTGTTCTGCTTGAGATATCTCATTTTACAGAAGGAAATCTCTAGAAGCGATGAGAATTTGACTTTCTGAAAAAAGCTGACAGAGAATCAAATTCCCACCAGTGTACCTATGCAGCAATTAACTTCATTAAGTTTGGAATTATTTCAAAATCATGATGTAGCAGAGCAGAATTTGCATTTTTTGCTTTGACTTACCTAGCAAAAATAATTTGTTAAAAAAGTTTATTTCCTTATACACAAATGTTATATCCTACTCACTTCTTGCACCAGGGATCCTTTAAGAGATGTTCAGTCACAACAAAAATAATCTTCCTGCTCCTTTTTATACTATTAATTGTGGCTTCGAATTCAGATATGCCTGCTTCAAAGTCCCGTTCTTCTAAACAAAACCTAATTTGAAACTGGTTATTTTCTTCCAGAGGGATGAAGTTCTCAGACACCCAATCCTTGTCCCTTCTTGCATGAATAATGTAGGCATCATAATCAAACTCTTCCTGCCGTCTGTCAATTTCTTTAAAACCAAGTACTCGATTTACTGAAATATTCCAGTAGAAAGTTATCCTCCAACCTTCAAAATGGGCAAGAAGAACAATAAAGATGAGTAGCATCACAACAGTAGTAGTGATCACAAACAGTAATTTAAACGGAGCACTATCTTTGCAGGCTGAACTATCGAAATGCAACACCAGACTACCATGATACTTAGGTGGAGTGTTGCAAATGTACTGGGACTGCAGTCCAGGTATATGCGCTTGGGTCACATTAAGCCAACCAGCAAACCAAGCAATACTTTCACAGGTGCAATCAAATGGATTGGAATCCATCTCTAGTTTTCTCAAGCTCTTAAAAGCTGGGCCAAATACTTTTTCTTCAACAGAGGTTATTAGATTTTTCTGAAGGTTCAATGAATTCAGAGAGACTTGGTCATCAAATAAAGCTGCTGGAAGCAAATTCAAATTATTTGATCCTAAATCCAAATCATTTAGTTGAAACAGACCCTTGAAAACCTGAACCGGAATCTCATCAAACCCATTCGATTTTAAATTAAGAACACGTAATTTGGGAAGATCTTTTAAAAAAAGAACAGGGCCACCTGGATTTGCATGTTTCCAAAGTCGAGCTAAATTATTGTGCTGCAAATCCAGAATATCAAGTTTGTGAAGTCCATCAAACAAGTCATCTTTTATGTTTGCTATGTTGTTATTGCTGATGTCCAAGACTGTCAGATTTTGTAGAGGGTGAAAAGGCGAAGGAGAAAGTGCCAGATTACTGCAACCTACCTTCCTCAGCATTAGTTTTCTAAGGCTTGGAACAAAAGCGAACGACTCACTTCGCAAAATCAAGTTTTTGTTATAGGAAAGGTAAATATCTTGTATACTATTGAGACCTTTAAATTCATGACCTGTGAGCTCTTGGCTAATTTCATTGAGGCCAAGATCAAGAATTTTCAGGTGTCCCAAGCAGGAAAACGCCCCGTTTTCTATTGTAGAGATTCTAGTTTTTGTGAGGTTGAGAACCTGCAAACTGGAATTAGCAAGTGATGAAAATGTTTTATTCGTTATTCTTTGTAAGTTTATGTTGCAATTACAGAGACTCAGGTATTTCAGGTTGTTCAGGCCTGTGAACATATTAGCAGTAATTCCTGGAAAGTTGTTATTGTCCATTATAAGGTACCTCAGGTGGTATAGCCAACGAAAGGAAAAATCTTCAATTTTCCCAGAAAGGGAATTTTTCAGATTCAGATATTTCACACTGGACAATCCATAAAGTGAATGAGAAGACACAGTAATCTTATTATCAGCCAGGTTTAAGTACTCTAAATTAGAAAGCCACTGAAAGGAGTCATCTTCTATCCCGGAGAGAGAATTTTTAGAAAGGTTTAAAACTGTAAGATTTGTTCCTTGCAGTCCCTGGAAAGTTAACTTGCCAACATATGAAAGCTTCACATGGCTCAGGGAAAGGTTCTGAATTGCTGTGTTTGATAATTCTGTACAAAGTTTCTTTGTGTGATTTTCACCAAGTTCAACATTGTTCAGTATGAGGCCATACAGATTTCCAATCGCACGCAAACATCCTAGATGAAACTGAAAAGAAAAAGAAAGAATAACTTGTAGCTAAACAAGGGGATGACATAAGAAAGTTGCTCCATAACAGCCAAAATTTGGAAAGGTTTTCACATGAGATTTTCAAGCAGAAAAGTTTAGGATTTTTCCCACACACAAGTTTAGCTAAACACTTTTTGGAGTGTATATTTATGTAATAACGGTTCTAAAATTTGTAATATGACTGTCTTGAGTAGTGCACAGTATAATAAGATAGAAAGTTGCTTAGTGAGATGAAAATTATAATTTTGTATCCAACTATTGGGAACCCTGGCACTAGAAGTACCTTTGAAATGGAGGTAATCTCTCTGGGCTTTCTTTTTTTGCTATCTGCCAGGGATGCCAATTTACTAGAAAGACAGATATACTGTAAAAAAGGTATTTAGGCTACTCAGCCAAGAAGCCTGTGTACACAAACTACATTCATGAAGCAAGATACTACACACTTCCACAATGTAAGTCACAAGCCTCCATCATAGTGCTCACCCCTCATTTTGATTTCTGACAATAGCTGAATGATTACATACTTGATTTGCCAGAGTGTTTCAAGTGCATAGGTCTACCTTTCAAATAGCAGTACTGTAAATTTAGAGCTAGCATAAAGTAGCATTGCTAAAGCCAGGCCCATCCACTTATCCATAGCATGCCGATATGTGATGGTGAACCAGATGAGGGATTCAACAAGCTACTCAAGCCAAAAAATCTGGAGAGTTTCTTCTCCAGGGTGATCCAGCGCATAACCTCATTAAAGCTCATACCAACAAAAGGGAGGAATGAACAAACAGCCAGGGACAAGGGGATAGTGCAGATTGTCTCAGCAGTGCCACTTTAAAATAATCTTGCAACTACAGTGTAAGTGTTGTTTGCAGATCAACCAGCTGGAAAAAAAACAAGCAAGCAAATTCAATAATTGTATTTACATGTATTTACATGAAATGTATTTACATTTCAACCAGTTTAGAGCTCCGTAGCACTTTTAACATCACTCTTCAAAGAATCACATTTTAATGCTGCCAGGGTCAGAGAGTGGGTATAGAAAAAACTAACAAGCAGTAAGGTAGATGACAGACATCACACACTTTTTAAAAAACAGCCAGTATACTTTTTGCAATGCTTATTTCTGTAGAATACCCCACAGGCCTAAGGAAGTTTCTCTAATAACAAAGTGAGGATCCAGATTATTTAACTAGCTTTGCATAACACTTGTACCACAGGAAAATAAAATTCAAGGATGTTGCCAGCCTTTTTGATTAGAAATAATTTATCTGCTGTTCACATTGAGCACATACAAAAATTCCCTGCACAGAATATACCCAATTAAGGTCCACAGAGCTACTGACTCTGGCTCTTAAGACAACTGTTTTAAATGGAACCAGCTCTTAATGATTCCAGTGAGAGAAAAAATATTTCTGTGTATTACTACTGAAGATTGGGGTAATGCTGAATCAGTCATAGGGTATATTTAAACAGGAGTGCACAGGTAAACGCACTATAAAATTTATTCCACCTGCGCACTTTCTGAAGGATATAACATGGATTTTATGACAATAGAATGATCTTTGACCTCAGTGGACTCAAAATATAACAAAAATATAAGCCGTACCATCATATAGGATAAGAATAGTTCCATTTTACATTTATACCAGTTAAATTTCTGCTGAAGTACTTCCTACCTCTTTCAGTGGGTTTGATGACAAATCAAGTCTATTCAAGGAAGTGCTTCTAAGAAAACTGAAGTCTTCCTTTTTCAGCTCACTGATGTTATTGTTAGACAATACAAGCTCATGAAGACTCTTCAGCTGTTCTTCTGATCCTAAATTTGCTGACTTCAAATTATTATGAGATAGATCCAAAGTGATCAAGTTCTGGGGAGATGAAGGAAAGAGAAGAGTATAAAAGATCTAACAGCTTTTTATATAATACAAAAACATACTGAAATATTGCATTAGCCTATGACTAAAAATTAGTCATATAGCTACAATTAAAATAAATTTGTAATAGGAAAGAATGGTAGTCTGCCATATGTTACTGCTGATAAGCACAAAGGAATTAATACCAGTTATAAGCCTGGTAGCACATCTGAAGCCTTCCCAGCTCATGCAGGAAGAAGCTTTGTGTCTTCCATATCTCCAACTTTCACTGATGTCACAGTCTTAACCTGCTAAAATACCCAGTGCAAACCAAAGAAAGTGCTTTATCTATAATTCCTTCATTTAATGAAAGCCCTCCTGCTTCAGGTAGAGCAATAAAAGCAAAAGTCCACAGCTGGCTGCAGTTACTACAGTATTAAACCTGGCATTTCACCTTCTCTGCTGTGGTCTCCTCCCATGAACAGAAGCGAGAAAGGCAAATATAACACAAGCAGCAGCCTGCAAAGACCACTGTTGTTCATATTAGTGCTCTGGCCTACGCCCAGGTGCTCAGACTGCTCCCTGCACCCACAGGCAAGGAGCTGCTGCCACAAAGGCACCTCCACAGAACATACCTTTGAGGCCAGGCTTGGGGCACCTCATCATAACAAGGCAAAGTGAGGGAGAACAGAATTTCAGCTCTGCTCCCAGCACTGAAGCTGGCCAGCTGTACTTGTTTGTACTTAGTCAAGTCAGCATTCCCATGCTATAAGGAAGTATATTTTACATAATGGATAACTGGTATATTAAGTTTAACAGAAACATTCAGACTTGTCCAAAACAACAAGCACAATGACTAGAACACAGCATAACACCTAGCATCGGCTAGGTGCTAGGCATTATCTCTATTTTTTGTCCTTTAGGCCCTTCTTTTGCATGGTTCCCTGCTCAGTGCAAAGGCAATGGAATAGCCTTTTCCCGACTCTTGTTTTGGTCCACCAGCCTTAGATAAGCTACAGAGAGGGATATTTAACCACATCTAAAGTAACAGGAAATACAAAGGTAGCTAAAAGCATTCTGCTCTTCCTCAGTCCCAGAAGTCTTGGGCACCGGCCTTCACAGTTAATATATTAACATCTTGACCTTGAGAATTTAGGCTAGCTAGCTACCATTTTCTGGCCCCATACAACTCCGATTCTACATCATCCATTTCTGCCTATACCAAAGTCTGCTTGTTGCTATTCTTTCAGCACAATTCCTGTACGGAGAGGGACCTCAGTGGGATGTGATACAGTAAATGCCCCATTTGTACTTTATTTACACAAAAAAAACATTTCTAAAGCTTACCTTCAGGGTTTTGAAAGGATCATTTTTTATTTGTATTATGTTATATCCTAGATCGAGATCTGTCAGGTTGGTGCAGGAAGCAAAGACTCTGTCAGAAAGCTCATGCAACTGATTATGTTCTAACTTCAAAATCTGCAACAGAGGTACATTCTGACACAATTCTGGTTGCAGCTTAGAGATGCTGTTATACCCTGCATTCAAGTAAACCAGCTGGTTGTACCTGGTGAGATTTGCAGGAGATAGCATTTTTATCTGATTATGAGAAATGTCCAAGCCCATTATATTGTTTGGGAGATCAGAAGGAATTTGATTCAGCTTTAGGTGACTGCAGTCAGCCATTTTATTTCTGATCTCACATGGCTTTCCAGCTGATGCACACAGCAAGCACGCAGACACCAGTCTGAAAGATAAGCTGCTCCAACAAAAAACAGCACTTCTCATAGCTTTATCTGCAAAAGTAAAATGAACACAGTACAAGTTACAATCATTTTATCACAACTTATATCTTGAACTGAAGGCTAAGCAAGGCCAGCTCAAAAAATCATGTAATCAAGTCCTAGTCATTCATATTAAAAAAATTTCCATTATTTTTCCTTATAAAGTAGCATTAACTTCTGCTGAAAAAAGGCAAGTCTAAATCTCTAAATTAAGATTTGTCTTGAAAAACATGAGGACTATTGTCTCTTCAAAGTTCAAAAAGCTAATTATTAAAAACTTAATATCCATAATCAATACAAACTTACTAGAATTTTCCCTTTTCTGATTAATTTTTACTTTAACCTTCCAAAAATATGACAAATTATATATAGGCCCTTTATGTTAATCACATACACTCTGACCTTAACTACACTTACAATTTCACACAATAAGAATGCCTAATGCCACTGTTTTATATGACAATTCTCATCAGTTTGTTTTACAAGTCAGCCACAAAAATTTCTAACCATCCTTCCATATTATTCTAGTTTTTTGCTTAACTTTAACTACATATTGAGAGAGGAAGTAGCAGGCTATAAAAGGATATGTGAGAAAGTTTAAAGCAAATAAAATAAATGCATATATTGTTAGAATCAGAAAAAGAAAGGTAGAAGAGCCAAGGTGTAGAGATAAGTAGCCTGTTTGGTCCATACATTTAATGCATTTATCCAGATGCTTCCAGCAAAACTTTTAATATGATACATCCCACCCCAATATGCCTTATTTCTGTAAGGATTTCAGATATTCTCACCTTCAATGGCTCAGCTTGTTTAGGCATTACACTTCTGATGAATCGGAATTTTTTCTTATTTTATTCAGTTTCCATTTAGTATCCATAAGGCTTAAAATTCACCCTACTAGCTGTAATACAGCTTTACTGGATAAATAGTCTCTACATATCTGCTCTTCAACAAATTTGGAACCTATCTGCCAACTTCAGTTTAACAGAGTTAAGTCTCAGTATGATAGGCTCCCAAGTAGAGAAGACTATAATGTCCCACCACAGAACAGCTGTAGAGAGGATTTTAAGCTTACCAGACTCAGGGGAATCCACAACAGCTTCTCAAAAGTCTAACCCCAAGACAACAAGCTTCCTCTGTTTTGCAGCTTACCTTTTCCTCACTTAGAACCTGTGTTTAATTAACACAATTTAGCCTTGAGCACATAAGATCACTGCTCAAGCCCCATACTCAGTGACAATGAAATAAGAAATTAAACCAACTGTATGGAAAAAAAATTCTGAGCTGATGTTTTACAGAGGTGCCATGCAGTTCCAGTTCCACAACAAAACACTCCAAGGAACTGACATTAAAATTTGCAGCCAAATAGGGCTTTAGCAGATGAGACCCTGGTGCCGTTTGGCTCCACAAGGGATCAGCCACTTCGGAGAGCACACATTAGGGCTGCTCCAGCAAGCCAAAGCCACACTATCATAGCCAGGGAGGACCCCACCAGTGCCTCTTCTTGGAAGGGGCCTAGCCATCTAGGGAGAGGCATTGGTAAAAATCCAGTGGGAGGCAAGAGACAAGCAAGGGAAAGAAGGACCTAAAATATTACAAAGGGGTCCACAAAGGAGAAACTAAAATAAGTATGAATGAAACCCCATTTCTCTGCCAGGCACTGCACACAGGCCAGCCTCCTCTCACCTGCTGCTGGCAAGCATGGAAGGGCAGAGGGGAGCAACAGCTGAAACCAGCCTGCCCTTCCTGCAGGCACTCTGACCTGCTACAGCTGTTGCTGAACACAGCAGCTTTATCCCTGGGTCAGAGGAAGCTAAAGGACCATCTCTTTTTCCTCATCCCTCTGCATCCCAGCTGCTAGAAGAGCTGCAGAGGAAACCAAAGTGGGAGCTTCTCTGTAACAAAGGCTTCATTACCTCAGACCTCTTTTGAGGGTCTTTTGTTTTAGGGAAATCAGGTAGCTGCCAGGCTCATCTAAGTTTGAAAGGAGCTAGAATGTAATATAGAGAAGTATAAACCCAGCTCTTCAGTTGACCCCGTTTCTCTGGTCTCTGGCCAGTGATGCCAGAAGGGTTGACTTTCTGCTGGGCCATCTTGGCTTCAGGAAGTCTGGAGACAACTTTAGCTTTTTTAATGCTTTGGAAGTGAAGAAAGCACACCATTTATCTGACTCAAAGGGCAAGGTTGCAGAGTATTTAATGGATAAAAAAGGAATTACAGTTCCTAAAGTTACGAGCACAGATTTTAGGAAGCAGGAAACACAGCAGAGGAGCTATAAGCCTCCAACAACTCCCAGGGTGACATTCCCACTTAATCAATACTACTTTTGTAACAAAAAATACCTCCTGCCAGCTGGGGATACTGTATCTGAGCACAAGCTCCAAAGCACACACTCATTAAGCAAACAGCAACAGGATCGACTTTGCTAATTGGCAGCATGCAAACTGAGAGAAATCCAAGGTACAAAAAACACCCGAACTCCCAGGTAGTATTTTGGCTTTGTCCCTCCGATTTCCACATTTATTACAAAAAAGTGAGGAATGGTATTCACTTACCACTGAGGACTTCTTCAGTGCTTGCGCATCCAGGCGCTGCACAAGTTTTAGCTCAAGAAAACCAGCAGGGTAAAGGCTATACGGAGCCGGAAGAAGAAATGAAAGTGAAACTGGGGAAGGGTGGCCCCGCCGTACGGGATCTGCAACGCAGGGCCGGCTCCTGGCAGGCCCCCCCCCCCGGGTGATCGGTGGCACACGCTGCTCCCCCCGGACATCCCGACAGCCCCCCTCCAGCCGAAGTCAGCCAAGTGTTAAACGCAGTCCTGATCTGAAAGGTTTCAAAGGTGCCAAGGGTGCAGATCATCCCAGGAACAAAGTTGGGCATGCACCTATTTTTGCTGAAAAGAAACTGATTTAAGCACACAGATGTTTCACAGATGAACAGCACAATGCACACCTAGTAACAAAATTACAATTTATTCCTAGCTACATTCCAGTGTCACTGAAAATCCTTAAGAACATAAATCCCGAAATCAAATATTTTGATTGACAGATTACATTTGACATAGAAATACTACTCTTAATCTGGAAGCACAAAGCACCAATAGGTTCCTACAAAACCACATTAAGTATCCCCTTTTTTAAAGGGAATTTATTCATGTAGGAGAGTAACATGAAAATAAGATAATCAAATATTTTCTATTGTATTAAAAACAAGAACTTAAGATCATTAGAAGTACAGCTGCTCCATGTGTGCCCTTCCGACACTGAATTTATATTTCCCTGCTTTCCTAGGGACCTCACCTATCAGTTTGCTGAAGGGGACTCCCCGAGTACATGCTTCTTTATGTGACAAGAGGTCCTATCACTTTGGCTGTACTGACATTGGTGCACCTCTGCATCACTAGAAGCTGCACGGGGTTCACATTCATTCCCATTTCACAGCTAAACTTTGCTTTTCCCTTTTAGCTTGCTAGGGAAAAGGGAATTTCTGCTCCATGCTGCCCTGTGTGTCCCTGCACCAGATGAGATCCTGTTTGATCATCTTAAGTACAGCCACTCGACATCACACTTCAAATTACTGAGAAATTTACTTTGATGTTTTGCAACTCTGCTGCTCTGGAACAGAACAGATTGCATTGATAAAGAAACAGTAATTTTAGCCTTTGCAGAGCATTAGCACAGCAATACTCTCCCTAACACCACTGTTTGGCAAGACAATCTGCTCTTTGATCTCATCTCACACTAAGTTTACTCCCTTCTTAATCCTCTCTTCCCTATACACACTCAAGTTTTGCATGATGACAGAAAGGGAACTAAGTTTGTTCCCTCTTAATCCTCTCTTCCCTATACACACAAATTTTGCACGATGACAGAAAGGGAACTACTAAGAAGCTGGAGCTCTTTTAGACACAAAGGAGAAACATCTGATGCTCACGAAGCGGCCAGTTCTATCAGCAATACCTCCCATAGCTATAGCCTTAGGTCAGCACCAGTGCTCAGGGAAACAGCAAGACAAAGCTGCCCAAAAGCACCATTCTTTCAAGAAGCACTTGCACTGGGGCTAGGAATGTTTTTTTCCTCACAGAAAACTCCAAACAAAGCTGTTGCAGAAGTTTTGCAGCACGATTTACAAGAATCAGCAGATACAA